GAAGCACAAGTAGCAGCCAAGATCGAGGGCAGAGCTAACCGCGAAGGAGCCGCCAATTTGGCCAGCCAGGATACTGCAACCGCGCAACTCGAAGCCTCCGCCTCCGCCAAAGCCACAGCAGCCGCCGCCGTTGGCGATGGCGTCGTTCTGGGACTTGGACTCGACGGTGGAGCCGCGGCCCAAGCGCAAGCCCAGGCTAAGGCTCTCGCCAGAGCTAGCGCTTCTGTAGGAGCGCACGGGCCGAGCAAAGGCGGATGGTAATCTCATGCCTGATGTAGACAGCACTCGGGGACGGATTTCCCGTTTAGGCAGTTGAATGTTTGGATTACAAAGACAGTAGAATTATTGTATGGCTCGAGAGGCGGATAGAAAGGGTTGATTAAAATTTAAAATTATTACATTGTCGAAGTGAAACTTACCTACGTGACAATAAAGATCCACTGTTTTAGCAGATATAGCCTTTCATTCTTCCTATGCGTTACCTTTTTTCCTTCCGTAAACTTTATCTTCTTAGGGAAAATATTTTCTGGAATCGATGTCCTTAAATTTGGATTTAAGATGTTATGGATTAATGCTATTTTGATTGATTAAATGTGGAATCTTTTTAACAATATTATCATTTCAATTGATGCGTGAACGTCATATTACTAGTGGAGTTGCTTGAATTAATAATAACATCGAGGTAATTAATTAAATTATTTTTAGAAGATTATACAATTCTAGATTTTTGCAGTATTTATTTGATATAGATAATCGAAATGTATAATTGAGTACAAAATGGCACGTGTATTAACACAGTACGATAGATAAAAGAAAGACACATTCCACTAATTTCTTTTCAAAATTTAAAAAAGGCTAAATACTTCGTTGTTGTAACTGAAGTATGAACATAAACTGAAGCATGAAAATAATATAATATTTAAGCATATTTATTTATTTCAGAGAAATTGTAGAACAATAACATAGTCATGGCGTTAATCTGTTAATAGAGTCATAGTTACATAGAATTGGGAAGTCAATTACTTATATAATAATAACAGTGATATTACGTATCTGTACGAATGTTATTTCCCTCGTAAAATGTATTATGTTCGATCATCTAATTATTCATACCTGACATGATGGACAAATATTGGATTAACATATGGATACATACAGGTGAACGTTAAAGTACCGTGCGCCAAAGAGCAATACTTATTCAACGCGTGAATACGAATACAAACAGGATAAGACAATTATTTTTTATGATAATATTTAACCACCGTAAACGCATGGAACTAATATGTTGTTACAAGTGTACAAATAAAATTTTATTAACAAATCTTTTGATAATATATGCATTTTATTCTTTTATTTAGTGTAACATTCTATTTTTCACCATACCCAATCCACCATCTATTTTCAAAGGTTTATTGACTTTGTAAATCTGTACAAAATTTACATTTACTGTAAGTGTTTATAAAGAATTTTTATTGTTAGATACAATGTATTTAATATAAATAAAATGAGTTTTACTGAATAAAAGTGACTACCTCGACATGATGATTACCTAAGAAATTGATTACCTGAATCTACTTTATTTTATATGATTATCTTACATAATGTTATAAAATAACTTTAAGATGTATTCCATTGCTAACATGTCTGAAATAAAACAACGAATATTCGATAGAACAAAAATTCATTCTTTTGTTTATACCTTGATAACATTGGAAGAAAAATTATTATTTGATGGAAAAATTTCACAAGTGAAGAGAATACAGTTATTTATTACGAACTTATTCTGTACATGTGTAACTTAATTACGCATCTATGATCGTGTCTTCTTCTGCCAAACTATATATTATAATTTTCTTAAGACCAGAATTATAATAATTTTTATTAAAAATATAACGTATATTCATATAAAAGAAGTTCTTAAGATCCAATCCACACGAGCAACCATTTTCCTTGCGATCTTTCAGCTATTATGTCTGTCTTCTAGTTTTAAGTGATAAAACAAAGACAATTTCTAATGATTACATTTATATTCTATTTGCTATTATTTAATGTCAAATAGAAGAGAACAAAAATATTTAATTAAAAACTCAGTTTCGCAAACGAACATAAATTTCATTATGAATTAAAAAACTCGAAAACAACCTAAGGATTAAAAAAGTAAAGACACATATCGACATTGTAGCTATTTGTAGTTGTGTGTAGTTCAAGGCCAACTCGAACGTGACCAAAGTTATCTCTAAAAATGATAATTCATACTCGATCAAAAAAGGAAAGATTTGCTCGATTTACGTGTCACAACGTGCAATTGAAACAACATCATCCAATTCCAATCCTCCAGGGTTAATAAAAATCCCACCGCGAACGTAAGAACAACATCTCGGAACGAAACAAACAGCAGGTACCAGAAGCGACACCAGCTAAATAAACCCGCAACACTTAGATAAAGACATCGTTCACGTCCGACAAAACCAATATTTAGAGGGGTGCGAGACAGTCCGGGAACAGGCACGGGGAACCATCAACAACAAATTATTTTGACAATTGGCGGGAACAGTATAAAACCGCGAAATCCTCATTCGTCCGGCATCAATCTTGCGAAGTTTCCACGAAGATGAAGATTCCAGCGATACTCGCGGCATCCCTCCTCGTCTGGAGTCTGGCTAGTGCCGACATCTCGGCCGAACGAGAATCGCAGCAGCGCGAAGTGTCCAAAAAGAAGGTCCAAGTCGAGGTCCGCGAAAAGAAGGAATGGAACAGGGAGAGCTGGGACACCAAGTCCAGCGAGTGGGACCTCAAGCCTAGCCCCAGCTGGGAACCTAAGCCTAGCCCCAACTGGGAGCCCAAGCCTAGCCCCAAATGGGAGCCCAAGTCCAGCGGCTGGGACAACATAGATATCAAAGGACAGGGTTGGGCCCTCGAGGGAGTCAACGTTGGAACCGGATCGGCGGAGACCGCAGCTGCTTCCGGAGAAGCTTTGGCCCTTAACCTGGGTATAGGAGAAGCTGCTGCGTCCGCACAAGCTGCAGCCGCGGGTCAGTCGAATGCCGCTGCCCAAGCCGCGGCAAGCGCGAGCATGATGTCCTCGCGGGCTGAATCTTTGGTAGGGGCAGCAGCCGCCGCCGAGGCAAATGCGGCCGCCGCTTCCGAAAAAGCGAGTCAATCTTCCAAGGCGACCAGCGCAGCCGCCATACAAGCCGAAGAAGCCGTAGGCAAAGCCAAAGCGGCCGCAGGAAGGGCAGAGGTGCTCGCGAGAAACGCTGCAGCAGCTAATGCTCGTGCCGCCATTCAGTCCGAGAGGGCGAACGAACTCGCGCAAGCCGAGGACGCAGCCGCAGCCGAAGCTCAGGCCAAGACCGCCGCAGCAGCCAGAGCAACGAAAGTAGCCCTGGAGTTGGCCAATATCGCTGTCAGAGCTGAAGCGGAAGCTGCAGCAGCAGCCGAAGCAGCGGCCAAAGCAACCGCCGCTGCCGATGCAGCCGCAGCACGCGCTGCTGCAGTGAACGCCATCGCCGACGCGGAAGTCGAGGCTTCCGCCCAGGCCGAGAACACTGCCGGTGTCGCTCAAGCCAGCGCTTCTGCCGCCGCCGAAACGCAAGCCGTCGCCAGCTCCGCATCCGCGACCGCGGAGGCGTCAGCCGAAAGCGGCGCCGCGAAGGGAGAGCTTAGTTTACCAAAAGACGATCACGAGCCAAAGGAGGAAATTATTATGCCAATTAAGGGCGGAAAATCTAACTGGGATTAAGAAGCTCCCCGATCAACGAGGTACGGGTCTGGGTGTGTGATATACAGTTTGGAAACAGCTCGAGCAGATGCACACTTACTTTTCAAGCAGAGTATTTTCTTGGATCAGGAAGACAGGAGATGATAAAAAATCAACGATTAAGTGAAATATCGATGTAAGGATGCCACTATTAAACTGTTGTAGCAAATGAACGAGCGTTTTCAATATTCTTCCTCGCAAACCTTTCTCTTTAACCCCTCTTGCAAACCGATGCCAATAAACTCGTACGGGCACATAGCTGGATTTATTTCCTAATGGAAATTCTCCATTCACGTGTAGCGACGGTATATGATGGTTCGCGAGCGAGATTCGACTACCAGTTGCGAAGAAAATGGCGCTCGGCTGCTCTTCCTTGCTTCTTCCTACTGTATATACTTTGTATTAGAAATTTAGAAATTTTCAAACTCCACAATAAATTTGCTTAAGTTCACACCCATAAATTTCTAAATCTACAAATTCCAAAATCTCCAAATTCCTGTATTTCCAAATTGCTTTTGAAATATATCAGAATATGTCCCTACATGCCGTTTAGCCATACCACGCGTGATAATACCACACGTGACCATACAATAGCGACGGTATAAAGCACAGTTATATAGCATGTCGCGATACAGCGCTCGATTAAACACGAATCACGTGACCATACAACACGTGAGGATATAACGCGAAGTAATCTAACGCCGAGTTATACAACCCGTCTAACGTTTGACTTTCGGGATTCTGGAAGATGAGGACAACAAGCAATACCGATAAATTAGTACCCGTTTGGAAAACGATGTCAACGGCAGTACTCTAACGCTTGGAAATACCACGAACTTGCTCTGAACCGGTGATTTAGAAGGTTACAGTCTCTTCTCTTCGAAGAAGGATACCAGTGGGCAACTTTCCCTTTCTTCTTCACTTTCATCTCGGTACTGCACGATTTTACGCTATGATCACGCGTTTTCGTATCGTTTCATCTCTTTAATTGGATTCAATACGTACTAAGAACACTCTTAGTACGAACAAAGCTCGTTCTCTAAGAAAGAATGTGATGCAGATAAAAGCATGCAATGGCCATCGAGTATCGCTTACTCATAGAGGGTATTATGTTTGGTTCTTGTCTGCGTTAGGTCTGGATTAAATTGCACAAAACAAGTATCCAATTTAATACTTAAAGATTTAACGCGGTTGATTTGACGATGTATGTGACACAGATTTAGTTGAAATTAACATTAATAACGTTATATATTATTATTTATAACTTGTAGCTACAAATATTCGAATTGTCCCGCGCTTCGGACATCGGGTGAGATCGGATGAGGCGATGTTCAAACCACATCGGGAGAATCTTTGAATTTTTTATTTTTTTGACACAAGTGTCTAATTATTGTATATTACACACAAATATTGTATGTTATATTATATACAATATATATTAGGAGTATTAATTATACAGTTGTAGTAATATATTAGTTATGTGCAGTAGTTATGCACATCGAAACAGTTCGGAAAAAATCGGAAGCACTCGTAGTTGTAACTCAACTACACAACTCTCGTGTTACTTGTACAAAACTATTTTAATTATAACGATTAGATATCCAATATTATTGGAATCTTGCAAATTATGAAAATTTGTAAAGAGCTTTCTCTCAAAGTAAAGAGTCAAGTAGAAGAGGTAAAGACGAATAACGAGGTCTCTTATCCCGAAAGAAGGCTACCATACTCGGCAGTATAATCATATAATTGTCGCAAATTTTCTCCGGCACCGTTTTACGCTCGAAACAACAAGAACTGTGGAACCGATCTCATTGAAGTTCCTCGTGTTAAGTTTCACGGTGTTTACGTAACCGTTATTAAACCATAAAGTACTCGGACTTAATTCCTTCCTACTTGTTACTTCAGACGGTCCGGAACTCTGTTACGATGGGTACAATAGTTTTCTCCGTTTGATTTTCAGCTATGACACGCGAATATTTTGCGCGGGACAGCGAAAGTCCAATTACAAAGCGTACATTAATTGCGTTTAATGGGAGAGCGACGGTTGCATCTTGATTGTCGGCTAATTATTCGCCACGCTCTTACAAGCTTCTGTAATCGCGCATCCGCAGCCGATTTCATCCTGCGATTCGATCTTGCTTTAGGATATTGTGCGATAAAAGAAATGAAAGGTGAACGAGTTAGGATCCTTTTTCCTTGTAGATATAATCTCGTCATGAGTGAATTGTTCGTTGGCAAACTGAACATATATTGCGTATAATAAATTATTAATAGTATCATGCAAAAACAGGATACATATATTAATATAATATAATATATATATAATAATGTAATGTAATAAATTATATTATACATAATAATGTAATGTATCCTATTTTTGCATGAATAGTCTATTAATAATTTTATTTAATTTCTTCTTTCTCTTGATATTAACGAGGTGACTGTCATGGCGGCCATTACCAATTGCCTCAAAAATATAATTCATGAAAGCAGTCAAAAGTTCTAATGAATTTAATGAAAGCTCAAAAGTAACGACAAGTTTTGAACAAGTTTTCCAAATATTATTTTGCAGTGAATAAACAAATGAACAATATTTGTAACGAGTTTATAATCAACTCCGTTAATTAATCACCGGATTGGAGCAGTACTGTGCAGTACCAAAATGGCGGCCATCTTGAGCAGCAGCGGGAAAACATTTTCAAATACTTTTGACACTTTCTTGAATTTTAATTATAAATTACCGTATATAATTCTTCAAGATGTATTTAATTACAGTACCAGTCATGTCAATGACTATTTTGAACACTTAATAAATAATATATTTCATAAATATCATAAGTGAAAATGTTATATATTTTCATGTATGTATATAAATATGAATATATGAATGTACATGAATGTACATATGATTCACATATGCTTATAGATATTTATTCCTTCATTTATAAAAAGAAGAATATCAATGTAGTTGTAGCAATGAACTCGTTAACCGCAACAGTAGACCCGAATTCATAACCCAGTTCGTCACATGTATCGTAAGTGGAATGCATTCGTCGTGGATTTGATTCGATTTACATATATCAATGATAGAAAGAGAGGGCAGTTATGTAGAAGAACGCGTTTATGTACGGATGAGGTGTACATGTACGATCTCCACGATCATGCCATCGGGACGTGAACGATTCTTTGGTGACGGGTGGTTCAAGAGGTGAGAGACCATAAGTGTTTTGGTGGGGACGCATAGGACCACGCCTCGCGAACAGCTATAAAATGCCAGTACGAGAATCAGGCCCAACCAGTCTTAATCGGTACACGAAGATCCTTTTTTACTTTCAATCTTCGGACAGACTTCAACGAGTCTTCTTCTCTCCTTCCTTCGCTCCGTGGAATCGTCCTGTAATCATGAAGCTAGCTACGATCTTGCTGCTCGTCGTCGCGGTCGTCTTCGCAGCTGAAGAGAAGGAGGAAGAACGTCCAAAAACATTCAGAAGACTCATTCCTGCTGACGTTCTTCGCGGTAAGTCTTTTTCTTTTTATTTTTAAAATCGAGTAGCTGACGTTGTTGGAAATTGTATGCTATTGTCACTGAGAGGAGGCTGTTCGGAGATTTGAAAATTGGAGATTTGGGAATTGGGGGTTTGGCTATTCGGAGATTTAGGAACTGGGGATTTGGCTGTTTGGAGATTTGAGAATTGGGGATTTGACTATTCGGAGATTTGGGAATTGGGGATTTGACTATTCGGAGATTTGGGAATTGGGGATTTGACTATTCGGAGATTTGGGAATTGGGGATTTGACTATTCGGAGATTTGGGAATTGGGGATTTGACTATTCGGAGATTTGGGAATTGGGGATTTGACTATTCGGAGATTTGGGAATTGGAGATTTGGCTACTCGAAGATTTGGGAATTGTAGATTTGAAAATTAAGGAATTTGGAATTGAGAGATCTGGAAATTAGGAAATTTGAGAATTGGGGATTTGGCTATTCGGAGATTTGGGAATTGGGGATTTGGCTGTTCGGAGATTTGAGAATTGGGGATTTGACTATTCGGAGATTTGAGAATTGGGGATTTGGCTATTCGGAGATTTGGGAATTGGGGATTTGACTATTCGGAGATTTGGGAATTGGAGATTTGGCTACTCGAAGATTTGGGAATTGTAGATTTGAAAATTAAGGAATTTGGAATTGAGAGATCTGGAAATTAGGAAATTTGGAAATTGGGGATTTGGCTATTCGAAGATTTGGGAATTGGGGATTTGGCTATTTGAAGAAACCGAACTTAGATACCTAAGAACACTTGCAATCTTCAAATCTTTCCACATCTATTTTATCAAAATCTTGCAACAACCACATACACCTTCTTCTCTAATCAAGTAAAAGAAGTATAAAGATTCACATATCCCTCACACAAATCATATGAAGTTAAAAACCGATATCATTTTCCACCAACAATACTAACGTCCACAAAATATCATCATGGAAGGCACGTCGCTGCAGGAACACGTGTTCGCGATGAAACATTGAATAAAAAACAGGCTGACTGATATTCGTATAATGATATAACGGATCTGCTTGTTGTTGCGAACAACAAAAGCTGAAACTTTCGAACAGGTTAACTGTAAACTGTGATATCGTTCGATCACTGTTTCCATTCATCTTTTGTTGAACTCGCTGCAGCGATTCTCAAACTTGTTCACTTTGTAGTACGTATATGTACATATAAACGTGAGACACATGTATGAACATATAGGGAGACTATATGTGAGATGAGTAAAATTGACAATTTTTGGGTTTGAGAGATTGAGAATTTGGGAATTTTGGAATTGGGGGATTCTAGAATTTGAGGATTTAAGAATTGGGAAATGTGGGAATTTGGGGATTTTGGAATTGGGTGATTTGAGAATTTGGGGAATGTGGGAATTGGGAAATGTGGAAATTGGGAAATGTGGGAACTGGGGGATTTGGAATTTGGGAATTTTGGAATTGGAGGATTGGAATTAGGGGATTTTGGAAGTGGGGAAATTGGAAATTGGGGGACTTGGAATTGGAAAATTTAGAAATTTGGGGGATTTAGGAATTTGGAAGATTTGAGAATTGGTGAGGTTAAGGAGATTTGAGAATTTGGAGATGAATGTTTGTAAATTTGTAAACTTGTAAACTTGTAAACTTGAAAACTTGGAAACTTGGAAACTTGAAAATTTGAAAACTTGTAGAAATATCGAAATAAAAAAATGCTACACACACCATTAAGAATCAGCCAACCGTTCAAATGGAAAGGCATACACTCAAATGACCTGATATTTCAGAGGAGCATGCAAGGGTTAAAAATGAGTTCAACTTTTACGTTCTCTCCGTTTCCGACTTTCTTCTTCGTGCAAGCCTTGCATAAGTCGCATCTACCATCCCGTTCGTATATAACACTTTCCTTTTATACGAAAACCAGTGTCAGGATGACGTGGCTCCTCTGAAACGGGTGAACAGGTACGTGTCCAGAAAGTGGGACGATTTTTATCACTTCGGCTCTTCTTGCCTTGTAGAGGACACATACCCGCAGACTTTCTTAGAACGATGACCCGTCGAGAAGTGAAACTGCCTAGAAGATGCTATATGTTAGGCGTTTGTTCGAAGAAAAAACCGCATTCGATACCGTATATACGAGCCGGAAGATCGAGAGGAAAAGTGAAAGAAGCGATCGAAAGTCGCTAAACGCGTTGTGCTTCGTCTTCCGATCAACATTTACCTTCTTGGTAATGTTTTGCAGAATTGCAAATTGAGGGGATTAACTGGACGAGTTTGCTGGAATGGACATATGGTTTCGTTTAATTTTACTGTGCTTTGCTTTGTTTTTAAGAAACTATTACTTTACAGTAATATTATACGTACAATTAACAAGTTACTAGAAACGAAACATATTGCATGTTGTGTTATTTGAAAGACCAATGTTCAATTATAAAATTTCATTTGAAGGAAGATTTATGAACTCACGAATTTAACTCTTGTGAGTTAAAATATAATTAAGTGAAATGTTAATTGCTTTAACTCGAATAAAAGCAGAAAGATACGAATACCATTACATCGACAATATTAAACAGCAAATTAAAGGTTGCGATTCTTTCATAAATGCGACACGTATACAGTGAAATTTTCACGTGTCTGCAACTCGTATTCTATTGTAGCAATCAACCTGTCAGTCAAAGTGCCAGATATCGAAAGTAATGGTATTTCTCGTTACTCGATTAACAAATCTGCAAACTTGTTCCATTAAGTAAGTGATACTTACTCCGTAATGGCATACATTTGTCAAGTAGTCATCAAATGAAACCCGTAATCAAAAATTATACGACAGGATAAAAATTGAAGAATAACGAAACAGAAACATGCAATCCACGTCTTTCATAAATTTTCATTCGGATCTTGGCTTTTGCTGTCGACGACCCAGCCCAAGTTCTACATTATACGATTGTCCTGTTCTTGAAACGGATATACGAACCCACGTTCGTGACGAAAAAGCTTAACAAAAACATGTATGCTTCGCATAAATAAACTGTTTATGAATTTATTTGTGGATTTTAAGGTCAGCCAGTTTTTAGACGAGTAGAATTAGAGTATAGTCTTATTGTAAAGATTAACATGTTTCATTATAAACTCTGGTTATATTGCCATTTTTAGATGCGAGTATATGGAGTTCGCTATATGACCACATGTTACATCGCCATTTCTTATATTGCTATACTTTATTGTTCATAAATTTTACAATTTACCAAATTCTCTGAACTCCCCAAATTCTCCAAATTCCAAGTTTCCAAATTCTCCAAATTCTAAGATTCCAAATTCGCTAAATTCCCCAAGATCCCCAAATTCCAAGTCTCCAAATTACCCAAATTCCTCAAATTCTCCAAATTCCCCAAATTCCCCAAATTCCAAATTCCTCAGATCCTAAGTTCCCCAAATTCCAAATCCCCCAAATTCCAAATTCCCCAGATACCAAATTCCCCAGATACCAAATTCCCCAGATACCAAATTCCCCAGATACCAAATTCCCCAGATACCAAATTCCCCAGATACCAAATTCCCCAGATACCAAATTCCCCCCAAATTCCCCAAATCCCAAATTCCCCAAATCCCAAATTCCTCAAATCCCAAATTCCTCAAATCCCAAATTACCCTAATTCCAAATTCCTTAAATCCCAAATTTCCCAAATCTCAAATTCCCCAATTCTAAATTCCCCAAATCCCAAATGCCCCAAATTCCAAATCCCCCTAATTCCCATTTCCCCAAATTCCAAATCCCCCTAATTCCAATTTCCCCAAATTCTAAATCCCCCAAATTCCAAATCCCCCAAATTCCAAATTCCCCAGATTCCAAATTCCCTAGATTCCAAATCCCCTTATTTCAAATCCCCCAAATTCCAAATCCCCCAAATTCCAAATTCCCCAGATTCCAAATTCCCTAGATTCCAAATCCCCTTATTTCAAATCCCCCAAATTCCAAATCCCCCAAATTCCAAATTCCCCAGATTCCAAATTCCCTAGATTCCAAATCCCCTTATTTCAAATCCCCCAAATTCCAAATCCCCCAAATTCCAAATTCCCCAGATTCCAAATTCCCTAGATTCCAAATCCCCTTATTTCAAATCCCCCAAATTCCAAATCCCCCAAATTCCAAATTCCCCAAATTCCAAATTCCCTAGATTCCAAATTTCCCAAATTCCAAATCCCCTTATTCCAAATCCCCCAAATTCCAAATCCCCCAAATTCCAAATTCCCCAGATACCAAATTCCCCAGATACCAAATTCCCCAGATCCTAAATTCCCCAAATTCCAAAATCCCTAAATTCCACAAATTCCCTAAATTCCCAAATTCCCTAAATTCCCCAAATTTCCCAGATTCCTCAAATTCCCTAAATTTCCCAGATTCCTCAAATTCCCTAAATTTCCCAAATTCCCCAAATTCCCTAGATTCTCCGAAATCCCAATTTTCTCCATAAGTAATCCACCACAACTAAACTCCCGATAAGTTACATAAATGATATCCACTATAACATCAATACGATCGTAGTAATGTAATTTCTTCTTTCAATCAATCAATTACATCGAATTGATATCGGTCACTGTCAACCACCGCACCTATTAAATTGAAAAAGCAAACGACGGTATATGTCACGTTATGTCCATTTTCATCGTGACATGGAACAAGATTTTTCGCTCTTCTATTGTGTTCGGTTGTCTTCGCGTCTTGTCACGTTATTCATCGTGCCGTGACACGCTTTCGACAAAGAGATTTTATTCTTCTCTTTTTTTTTTCTTTCGTTTTCATTCCGAAGACAATTGTTGCTGGCGAGAGGCGTGTTCATCGGTTCGTAGATCCTGATTCGCCGTAGCGTTATAATAATTAGCCTGACACGCGAACAGGATACGGTAACGGGTCGCATCGAGACAATCAGGATCACGTGAAAGTTTTTCACGGTGTATTGTACCCGTTCCTCTTGACCATATCCTGCAACCTGATTCATTTCGTTTTCTCGCTGGACGACTTCTCTTTATATGGCACACGAAGAGCTTCGGCCCTCAAGGTGAAACCATTTGCGAAATCTCCTCTCGCTTGCATGACAAACACCTGAACCGTATCTTGTTGTATCGATTAATTTACACTGGAACGTTTTGTCGAGCAAAAGCCAACGCTTTCGTTACGGTACACTTCGTGCAACAATAGCGAGGCAGTCGTTGAAATATCACAAGTAAGTTACAATTATACATATTCAATCTTGACGTTTCTTCGTCGCAATAAATCCAATGCTAAGAATAGTATAGTAAAAGAATGAGAAAAACAAGATTAGTTAAGTAACATAATAACACTGTGGTGTGGTAAAATAAGAACACAGCAAAGTAGTAGTACAAGAGTATATTTGTACAGTAAAATTAATATAGCAGTGAAGTGCAATAGTAAAATAGTGATACAGTGGAACAGTAGTATAATATATAATATATAGTAGAACATTAAATTAGTAAAATAACAATGGAAAAATTGTACAAATAGTAAAATAGATACATGGTAAGAAATCAACAAGCAAGTACTATACATGGTAAAAGTTAAGAATGCACCGAACACTGTTAGCTTTACTGTTAAGGACGATCAGATCGTTGATTTATTCGACAATGTCGATCATTCCCCCAGGATATCGTAGCCTAGATGCTTCGTATTTTTCGCATTGGACCTAGATTCCAATGCACAACAGAATTGCTCATGACAACCTAGTTGCCATAAGCCCGCGGGCTTGGGTAGACTACATTATGTACATCTTTGTACATTAAGGACAATCTATTTATACGATTACGGAATAAGGATAATGGGGCTAGATCGTGTTACGAAATTTTTGATGGAAGGGAACATCTCTGTCATACTCTACTTCGCCATGGACTAACAATTTCGTACGCAATTGTTTGAAAACGTTTGCTAACGCAAAATGTGAAATAGATACTTGTAAGTTTTAATCAAATTTAATAAGCTTGCAATTAAAGCGTAAACGTCGTCTTAAATTTGTTTGTAATCAAACATAGTAGACTCTTGTTATATCGCCGTGAACTTTAGCAATGGAAATTTCTTAGAGTTGACAATATACTCGATTAATCGAAGCATTTTCTTTTATATCGGTGCCTTTGTGTGGTAGAGTTAGTTGCTATACAACATGTCATATAGCGTACGGTGATATAATACGAGGTGATGTAACGCGTGGAGCTATAATGTGTGGCAATATAACGCGTGATAATACAACGCGTGGCAATATAACATGTGGGTATACAATGCGTGGCAATATAGTGCGTGACAATATAACGCGTGGCAATACAACGCGTGAAAATACAGCGCGTAGTATTACGACGCATAGCGGTGTAACGCGTGGGAATATAACGTATAATAATACAACGCTTGGCGATATAACATGTGGGTATACAATGCGTGGCAATATAGTGCGTGACAATATAACGCGTGGCAATACAACGCGTGAAAATACAGCGCGTAGTATTACGACGCATGGCGGTGTAACGCGCGGGAATATAACGTGTAATAATACAACGCGTGGCGATATAACATGTGGCAATATAACATTTAATAATACAGTCGATAGCGATACAACACATGATGATGCAGCGCTCAAAAGTGCAACACGTAACATAACGCATTGCCATATATTACGTAGTGACATTACATGCGATAATATACCGCACAGCACTAAATCACTTTTTTAATTAATATTCACATTTCTCCACATTCACAACGTGTCAAAACATGTTTTTCAGTCAGTTGATAAACCTTTCAAGTAATTACGAATCTAACACTTTAAGTAGGAAATGAACTTTAAGTTACGCGTATAACATTTTGATGTAAGTATAAAATCATTGCGAAAGTGTAAGCAAGTAGTTTCACTTTCCCTCTATCGAATACATTCCGCGTAAAAACAAAGAACTTGCGTTATCGAACACGATTAGTATTGATTAATAGACGAGATCATTGTTTGTATGCTAATTGTGGAAAAAAACTCTTGAGAAGAGAAAGGGATACGCGGTTCACCGTGCAATTTCGTTAATGATGTACAATTACTGAGTTACGAAGAAATTTCATGCGGTTTGCGCGGTAAAAGGCGCCCATTTTTCGATAGATCTATTAAAGTCTCTTCACTTTTTGTTTCGTGTTGCGCAGTCTGTTTGAAAGGTGTTATAAAGTGAACCAACAAAGTAAATGGTTGGTAATTTTTAGAGGAGCATCTATCGTTTTTGAATTATAGAAGAAAACGACAAACCGTGATTTCTAGACTTTCACCGGCACTAACGGATGTAGTACTTTATCTTCCAATGTAAACTTTCATGCTAATGGATGTAACGTTACATCCAATCACTTGATACTTTTTTCAACTACGTTTCTATATGGTAAAATGTAGAAGTTTCCTGCTTTGCAACAACACTCGGTTATAATATTTCGAAGTAGGTATTCAGAAATATTAAAGTTAAGTATTTCCAAGTGTTAATTAATATTAAAATTATCGAGATCATAACCAACTAATTCGCAAAGTATCCCAGCGAATATATTAATATTCAACATCTTGAAATATTAAACCCGACTGCCTCATTGATCTCGAATGTTCCATTGAACATATGATACGATCAATTGATACAGAGATACACGGACCACTTTCTTGTGATCTGAGTGATCCATAAAAATCTGATGCCACAAACCATAGCACGTTCTGGCGTTGGCGTAGACGCCTGTCGCTTTAAACCTTCGATGTGACAAAGCTGGCATTGAGAAAAACGGTAACGAACACGTCATTATTTAAATAAATCGCGTTCGTAGAAGGCAATCACTACATTCTAAAGCATAAGACGTTTCCTCTCGTTTTCTTGTATTTCATTCCATCTTTTGCGAATATTGTCATCATTGATTCTCGTTAAAAAAAATTCATTACAAATGTATATTTTATTATACAGATCTGAACCGATTATATTCGAACCCGTATTTGAAAATTGAAAGCATTGAATAAATAATTTCTAACTGTTTTGAGCAATACCATTTCACAATCGCATTTTGGAATTCTAAGAAGCGAGAAGGTAAAAGTAGAAATCCAATTATTTATTTGTTAGTACAATAGTTTCTTAACTTCTTCAAGGACACATACTCGGATATTTAGTTCTCTTTTTAAATTCAAAAAACAACTACGTTCGCTTTTATACTATTACTGAAAATAGATGTTAATTTCTTATGAACAAATGCGTGGAGTTATTGCAAAGCGAACAACTTAGTCAGAACACGATAATTACACAATAGGTAACACAATGTGACAGTGAAAGTGTTTCTCCTTGAAATTTCTAGCTCGAGCACCGCCAACGAAACTCCTCTGTCGTGTCAGCGATATATCAACACCCGTTACAATAGAATAGCATTATGCATCCGTATGAGCTGAAAAGCGAGACAACACTCGTTAGAGTAGTTGCATGTTAGAAAGTAACGACACTTTTCACGAATGTACGAGTAACTGCATAATACCCTTCTCCACGCGTCGCGCACACCAACGACGACACGATTGTTGAAAAAATGCAATCAGCACGAGTGGCTGGTCATATAGGATGAGAATTCATTTTACATCATTGCGATAAGCGGTGAAAATCTGTCGATGATTCACCCCGAATAGAAAACATCGTAGCAACATTTAAAAGCAATGAACACTTACCGTTTCTTTTTAACCTTTACTTACCCATTTATTAATTTCCCATAGAGTACCTTTATCGTTGTTATATTCACTGATACTATGGAGTTTTATTATATTAACTGGCGAGGAACTAGGAGTTTTAAAAAATGTTTCACTTTCGATATTGTGACAACTACCTCGTGGCGATATAACCTATAGGATGTAATTCGTAACAATTATAATGCGCATCGATATTACGCGAAGTTTTCGTAACACGCCACGATTATAATATGTAAAGTTTACAACAAATATAACGTCTACTTATATAACCATACAATCGTTGATATAACGCATGATGATACAACTCATGAAAAATCTAATCGCACTGGCTATTATTCTACAATTTTTAACAATTCCGGATAGAAAATAGCTGTTATTATCAACCATTTTATCAAGCGATATCGTTGCCTTTCTCCAAAAAAAAAGATACGTGATACCTGCAAGATGCATTGTAGCATAAAATACTGCGTGTTGCATAACAAAATCTAATGTTCCAGTTAGTGCAATCTGATACCTTCTTTATGTAATATAATTTATATAATTCGGGAGCTTATATTCTATAAACTACGAGCGAGCAAGCCAACAGTCATTAATCATAGAATGCAGTGATATTAAATTTCTTGTGATTACTCATACGTTCATAAATAATTCAAGAAGGATAAATTTATCAAAAGTTCCATTTTGGAATTTTGACAGAATTTAATTGTAGAATCTCCGTCTCCACCGTCAGTACTATGATTCTGTGAGATATAATGGACAGAAATAAATTAAAGAATACTTGACAAATTATTAAAAATGTCTGCAAAAAAACTAATAAATAAATATTTTTTTCAGATTTCCCTGGTAGGTGCTTCGCATCCACAAAATGCGCCACAATTGAACCAACAAAATCATGGGATCTAACCCCATTCTGCGGCCGTTCTACATGCGTGCCAGCCGATGACAACTCCGGACGTCTATTCGAGCTCGTGGAGGACTGTGGACCACTTCCAAAAGCCAATCCTAAATGCAAACTTTCGGAGAAAACCAACAAATCAGCTCCCTTCCCCGACTGCTGTCCAATCTTCGAATGTGAAGATGGCGCGAAACTCGAATATCCAGAAATCCCAACTTTGCCGCCGCCTACGGAAATCGTAGAAACCGAGAAAACACCGGAAGCAGCACCGGCGAAAGCTTAATTTTCAACGCGGTAGAACGTGGCCTCTACAAAATCAATTCGAACGATCGATTGAATAACTTAAATCGAGACTTAAATATCGAACAAAATTATTTACGTTGAAATCTTCTATTTGTAATTCTTTTTCTATTGTTAATAACTTACGAACGCTATTTTGAGTTAATTAGAAAAAATAATCGAGATTGAACAGAATTTGTGGTTATCTTTGAATAAGAGTGAAATATTACTTTCGACGTTGCGCATCGGTGCATGTTGTTTCGTCATGAGGAGGCCACGCTGCAACTTCCTGTTACCCTTCGATGCGAGTGGACTTCGTACATAACTAAAATTACACGTTTTATATAATTTATCTGTTACTTACAGTTTCTACGATAATACGAAATTGCAACATTCCACGTAGACAAATGTAAGGTTAATAGCGTCATCGTTAATATGCGATAATTGTTAGCGTCAATAATTTGGCATCATTTCTCAGCATCGAATTTCTTCAGCCTCCTAGTCTTAAAAACGGAAATCAGATGCTCTTGTTCGTTCTGTAATTGCACCCTTTTATATAGTAATAAAAACAATTGATTTTTTGTTTACTTCATCGACAATAGAAGGTTTTGCGTATGTAATGTAAAAACATGTGTGACTGTAATTATATGTAATTAAATTAATATCTATTTAATTCAATAATACATACACTGTGTATCTTTCATTTTGTTTCCCCTCAAAAAACAAATAACGATCGTACAACTTCCTTTAGAAAATATTGAACTATTATACTGATTAGATATCTAACAATGTAAATTTAACTTTTGTTTTTAATACTTTTGATAGTATTATAGTGGTTCGCTGAATGACTTTAGATGAAACTACAACAAATATTCAAGTTAATATACAAATATACAAAATATTCAAGTTTATAAATTAAGAATTTTTTAAATATTTAAATTTAAAAAATTCCAAATTCATAATCTTAACTCGAAAGTTTCTAGTCATATTTATTAATCAATTGATAAATGAAGTTGCGTCAATCTTCGTGAATTTTCGTGAGTCTCCGTGAAACTCCGTAGATCTTCGTGGATCTTCGTGGTACCAGAATTGGGCGTGTAAAAGACAGGAATTTGATCAACTTGCCATATAAATGGAGGTCATATAACGATATTACACTGTAATGTCTATTGTTGCTAAACTGTTTGCTAAAGTGTAAATTGAATTTAAACTAATTGCGTACTACAATAATAAGTGTGCCTAATCACTAGTATATTTTTGACAGAAAACACACTAAAAATAATATTAAAAAGAAATGTTCGCAATTATATTATGTATGTAAAGTACATTATTAACTTTATATTGAATACGAACAGAATAAGTTCTGTGGTAAAAAAAATTTGAAAATCTTTTTGATATTATCACGATTTTCAATTTCGAAAATTTAATTTTTGTAATCTTCTTCCATGTTGGTACCGCTGATTTTCATTTCCATTTCATACGTTGGTAACACGATAAAATTGTTCCAGCAAAATTCGCTATTTAGTCAAGTTTAGTCAAATTTAATGGATGTAAGTACGAACGTGAACTGATTAGAATAAACGTGAGATTAATCAAAGTGTTTGTTACGCTTAAAAATCATCAAATAATCTGCAACGAAAATGAGTGAACTCGTGTGGGGAATAAAAATTGGTGATTTGGAGCAAGTGCGAGATATCATTGAAAATAAGGCAAATATATAAGACATTAAGTTATCTTTTCTTCTGTCGCTTTATGGTTGTTGTTAATCAAAAATGTTATCGATGTATTTTTCCGAATCTTCTTATTATCCACTAAACTTGATATACTTCACTGCATATGAAAACTAATTGTTAGCCGGTTAAACTAACAGTCGTAAAAATTATTTTCTTTTTAAATTCAGTGCATATTTTTCATAAAAGTGAGTATACGCCAAATCGTATACATATATTTTTGTTGATAGAATATTGACGTTAATCAAATGATCGACGGAAGGACACCGCTACATTATGCAGCTGATTATGGCCAGAGTGAAGTAGTCAGATATCTTTTGGAAAAGGGTGCAAATGCAAATGTAAATACATGTCTTAAATATTAGGATTAATATTTGTGACAAAGTTATAAGAGTGATTTAATTTAAATATTTGTATTTTATATTTGATATATATTAATCTATCAGTTTTATTCTAAATCTTACTTGATATTGCTTCAATTATATTAACTCATGTAAAAATATATTTGTTTTTAGGCTACAGACAAGCATGGAATAACAATATTATTAGCAGCGATTTGGGAAGGACATACAAATTGTGTAAAATTACTATTAGAAAAAGGAGCTAAACCAGATGGCTTAACACCACAGGGAATCAGTTATTTAGATGCAGCTGAAAAGGATGAAATCAAACAACTGCTTAAATCTCACTAGCACAAAACCAAATGAAATTCAAACAATAATTTTGTTATTTTAGTATTTTAATGTTCCTCATAGGAGTATCACCATTGCTTTCCCTTAATTTTTTGCATATTGCTAGAGTATCATATTTATGCACTTTAAATTAAAAAAAAATATAGGTACACGTGTAGTTTTATAATAATATATTGCACATCTGGAGTACGTAATCATAAACTCATATTATTACATGATTATTCATAAAGATTTAAAATATATATAATTTCAGCTTTAAAATAGTACATCATACAGATTATTTTGAAAAATTAACAGAAACAAATTTATTTTTAAAGCATGTAATATTATATAGCGAAAGATATTTTGATACATTTGTAAGAAGCAGCATTGTATTTTAAATGTTTGTTATTAATTTATAAATGTTACAAATTCCTTTTATACAATTTTTTTACAATCTACCTACTAAAGCCATAATTCTGCTTTAGTTTAATATTTTTATGAAAAAGAGCTATAAATATACAGCATATTAAATGCTTCATTTAAGACGTATTCACATAATTTAAGTGAGTTTCAAGAAAGACATGTATAAATTATAGAAGGAGATTAAAAAACTTTATGGTACTAATTACCTAACATGTCTTAAGAGGTCTTAAAGGTGTACAATAATCAAAAATAATAAGCCAGTGTATCATTGTTATGTATATGGTTGTATTTTATTAAACCCATATTTATCTTTTATTTATTATTCCATGTCGATCGCAATATATTAATAGAGTTTACAAAATATTATCGAAAAATTTTATACGCCAAAATTTATTTATTCAATGTCAATTATTAAAAAATACAAAGACTGTGTTAATTTTGATAGGTATAACATATAGATCTGCATAAATTTTATGTTCTTTGTAGCTACATAAGATATTGTAATAATATAATAAAAGTATTTCGGGAAGAAGAATATTACGTTTTATAAAATACGATACAGTTTATTACATTCCTAAGTCCACTAGATCCATTTTATTTTGTAAACTAGCTTATACTTCAATTAATAATAAAATAAAAAATTAAAATAATTTATTTCTCGATTTTGTCTTACATACCGCTCGCAATTTTTTAATAACAAAATATTTTATTAATCAAATTATTAGATATTATAAAATAAAGTTTTGAAAACTAAATTTACAAATTCTAATTTTATTAATTCGACGGGAAGTATTTAATACATTACAAAAGTCGGCCCCTACAATTGGATGAACCACACTTACATATAATAACTTTGCCAGGTATACTTCCAACATCGTAACTATAATTCCAGGTTAATTCCTGACCCGCTCGTATGTAATTTAAAGCGAAAAATGCTACCCATGGGAATCTTACATCATGCGTATCGACAAATACATTTTGTACAAAAACATTTGGATCACATGAATGCTAAATACATAAATAAAATTATTTTAATCACATTACTTTTATAATAATCTAAAAATCTTCTTTTACTTACATTTAAATAGCGACCAATATTTCCAGTTGTTTTAGCATCCATTATATATACAGCCTCATCTTCTCCAAAAAAATCTCTTACTGATTTAAATTTAGGTCTTTCTATTTGTGTTGGTTCTACAGTTGGATCAAATCTACTTGGTTCTCTTCTACCACTTCTATTTTCTTCTTCATCACTGATAGTAATTGCATCCTGATCATTTAAACGAGTTTCATTAACGGGAAATTTCGTAACATTCTCAGGTGCTTTTGTAGCACTTCCATCTTCACTATTTTCTTCTGACCCATCCGGATTATTTTCGTCTCGCTTCCGTTTTCGAAGTCTTTTTCTAAATTATCATACTTGTATTAATATAAGTTACTTTGCTTATTAATAATTAATTTCTGTGTATGTACCTAATAGAAGAAGGTTCCGTAGAATCCACATTAAAATTCACGTATTTACTAATATTAAAATCTTCATCCGAATCATTAGTACTTTTTCTTGAATTATCTTCATCATCGCTTGTTAGAACTCTCGTCTTTTCTGGAGTAGATACTGGTAATTCCGACTCAAGAACATCACTTTCGTAGCCTTCTTTAATTCCTTCTACTACCTCAACATAATCCAACTCTGCAAGATATTCATCTCCATAATTCTTACCACCTTCATTGGCTCCCTATAATACAATAAGTGTATTAAATATTATCTTTTTAATTAATTTGTACCATTATTAACAAATTTTACTATTATCTACGTACCTGTTCTGTAAGTAATCTACCAGCATATATACAAATAAAAGATCCAAGGGGAATATCATTTAGACAGCGTATGCCCCAACCTCGAGGCGCTGTTTTAAATACTTGTAATTTTAATGTTAATGGATGTTGTACTACTCTATTTAAACAGGTTTTTACAGCACATTTACATCTTGAATTACATTCATAAATTCCAGTAGTTACTGGTTCTGGTAACCGTTTATACACATAACCGACAGATGTATTTGGTACCCTCCCTCCCAGAGTTGCACCTTGTATCGTTAATTGCCAGCACTGACATTTTGTTTTGTCCTGTAGAACAATAATGTAATATCAATTAACTATCACGCTAATATTCAACGTGTCAATCAATGTACTAATAACTAAATGTACTTGACAATCATCTTCACAATCACAGCTACATAGAAAATTTGGATCTAAATTAAGATTAACTCCTTCTGTTGGTTCTCTTTGTGTACTGTATCTAATAGTATCTGGTTGAGTATGATCTAATTCATTGACACATGGTATTGGTACATTTTCCACGCCATAACTGAGATCCTTGAAATTAAATTAAAAAATTTAGTTGTGAAATTTAATTAATTAACTCATTACTTAACTTTTAAAATTTTGTTTACCTTTATGTTAATAAAACATTTATCCAATACAAACTCCGCCAAACAGTGCACCCAGTAATCAAAATCAAACAAATCAACCGACATTGGACTACCTGTTTTACGAAGGTACTGATGCAGTTCTTCCATATTTCGCAGTCTAACACCACACGGTGCTTGATATAACGTAATTTTTTTGCCTTTAGGATATTTGCAAAGCTGTCGATTCCACCCACAAAGTAATGGTATTGAAAGAGGCGAATACCCTCTTAAGTCATCAGGTGTAAAGGATATACCCTCAACACACTGTGGACCACATTTGTGCGGAACAAAATCTTTTGTTTGAATTCTGTTCTGTGTTTGATAATACTGTAATAAAATTACAGCATGAATGTTAGTATACTTCTATAGCTTATACTAAATTTTCTTACTAAAATTACATTTCACTCCATATACTTACAACTATACTGTGGGAAGGTTTAGTTTCTGTAGTTGGATTATATGTACTTGCATCTACCACATTTTGCTTTTTACTAGTACTTTTTCTAGCAACAGCACGCGATTGTTGCGGTGCAGTCGAGATGAACGTGTTTGCAGTTTCATTTATTTCCGTTTGTTCTTTTTCTACTTGCGAAATTCTTCCTTCTTCGCGTTCCATATCAGATGTATATTCTACATAAGGTAAATTACTTTTCTAAAATATTAATAAATTTAAATTATTGAATACTCTGCGATCAATTCATCCCAACGAAAATGTGACACAAGGAATAAACAAATATTTTTATATACATTGGAGACAGCAGGATGTCGATGCCGACTTGGTGTATTAACAGATGTATGGTGTCCTTGTTGTCTGGCATTAGCTTTTAAAAGTTCAAGGTATAAAGGTCCTAATCTAGCGGAGCCTCTATAGATCCACTCTGTTCTACCATCAGCATCAAAGTGCATTTGTACTAAACTTGCGTCAACCTGTACCACCCTTGCAATCCACCATTTACCGTTCCATTCTGTTTTTACTACTTGCCCTTTTTGTAATTTAACCATTGGCCTTTCAGGATATGTCTGAATGTATTTCTTTACAAAGTCTCGAGATTCATTGGGTATATCTTCCCAAACTTTGGGAGAAAAATCTGCAACTAAATAAATGTGTCTATGTTCGACATACTGAGCATATCCATCATCAAAAAATACCAGGTACCTAGAATTAAAAAGTTCACTTATAACTGATACATAAAAATATATTGTTATGTATAAACATACCTATATTTATTTATAGCTTTCGGTGGTTCAGCTATAACTCCGCTATAAAAATTGCTAGATGAAACATCTTGAAATATTGCTACTACTCGTGCACCAACTGGAATTATTACTGAACTAACTACAGCAGCAGCAATTTGTTTGCCAGAAACAGACTTAATAACAGAGTTATACTTTTTTTGTAACAATTTTACACGATACTGAGAAGTAGAACCTTTCGAAATTATAGTTTGTACCTAATAATAAATTAAATATTATTCACCTATTAAATATTGAAATATTTATATAAATTTTAGATAAAGATGAATTTACTTTTCCTTTGACCCATGGCATAAGTGGATGCTTCATAATGAACACAATGTTATCTACTTCTATTTGTGGTTTCATAAGTACACCTATTGGAGGTAAATCCACATCCACAACGTGTGTGCTTTCTTGTTCTATTGGTAAAATTTCAGGCTGACTATCCTGCAGTAATGTAGCAGAAGGAAGTCGAATTTGTGTAACTTTTTTTGTTGCTACCAATGGATAAATGTTATTATCTACATAATCATCATCTATTTGAAGTTCTTCCAACATTTTAATTTGTGGCCTAAATTCATCATACAAGCTGTTACGCAATATATCCATAGTACTCATTAAATCTTTAACCGTCTTAAACAAAACTTCATTTTCCTCTATTGTAAAAAATAATTACATGTAATTTAATGTACATATAATAAATATGTATAGAATATAATTTTCAAAATAGTCATGTACCATTTATTTTATCCCATTGGTTTTTTAACTTATTATGTGCTTGTTTAACTTGATAATCAACATTGTACTTTGTAAAAATATTTTTTAATGTGCTATCCAGCATTTCTTCCATATCTAGAAGCATCTCTTCAGGTAAATACTTTTCTGAAATACAAAATATTTTTTTCCAAACATATTAAATGGACAATTATAGTTAACACAATATAATAAGATCTCAATCTTACCATCTGTACATATCTCTTTTTTTTTCTCATCATCTGAATCATCGCTATCAGAAATTTCTACTTCCATTGTATGATCTGGAAACTCACATTCTAATAATGGTTTGTGATCCACAAGAGCTGACACTAATTGCTGTAAAAATAATCACAAAATAATTAATTTTGTTGGTCAATTAATTATTGTTTATTAGTATAAACATCGAACCAAATAATATAAAAGTTATACCTTTTGGTGATCTAGTGCAGCTTCAAAACATTTTTTACAAATTTTGCGTATTTTCTTTTTTTCTGTATTTACACCATAAAAAGCACATGCAAACGAAGGTGCAGATTTCATATCCACTCCAGAACAACATTGGAAGTTTATGCAGTTACTTTTGTAAATTTTCGAACCGCTATTCTTTTTTACTTTATCCTCGGATGTCTCGTCATCCGAAACAAGTTCGATAATTTCCATTTTAAATTATATTTTAATAACAGCAGTGTGATTTTCCAATACCTTAATTATAAACAATTTTTCTTTTATAAATGTACAATGATATATAGGTTAGGTGAACAACATTAACATAAAAATTTAACATTTATACATAAAATGATAGAATTTATGAAAATAAATTGTTTTAGATAGATGAAACTAACTTTCTTATTCAATTAGTTGAAGTAAATTCTTACTAGAATATGTTTTTACTTACAAGTTGCTTTGATATGTAGTACTTCAATTCTAGTTTATACAAAAATGTTTACTTCGCGTTTTAAAGAATTTATCATTTTACATCGTTGATTTTACTGTTATTTGCATAAAAAATAGTTAAAATATTTAGTTTGCAATGTCATCAATAACTTAGTTTATGTACATATAAACAATCACTCTTTGAAGCAATATGAAATTTGGTTAAAATTCATATCCTCCTTCAAAGTAACAACAATAACAAAAATATCATACGCTGCAGAGGTCCTGTTCATTAAACAAACTTTTGTACATTCTGCACATTTTAACTTTGATTGGTTCTAATACCTCACTAACTAAGAAAGAACAACATATAATGAAAATTTGCAGTATCCGTAACACTTGATGCATATACCCAGTGGCAGTGTTGGGCAGTCGCGAGATTTTATCTCACGCGAGAGCTTTATGCGCATGCGTCAGCGACGTCACAGCTTGCTGCCAATGCCGTACCTAGCCGGTACACGAAATGGTGACTGATGAGGGCACCTTAATGATCCTACATAACTTTTCAAAAATTCTTATAATTGCACTGTAAACTATGAATGTATAGGTTGAGTTAGATTACATTAGGCTGGGTTAGATTAGTTATATATATATGTCTGTATAAAACTATACAACTATATATACATATATATATATACATATATACATATATA